GCCGGGGGTGTCCAGGGGGGCCAGGGCCCACCGGTGGGCAGCGGTGCCCGGCCCCCCGCCCCCCCGCAGGCCCCTGCACGCCAAGGCCGAGCAGCACCTCATGTGCGAGGAGCACGAGGACGAGCGGATCAACATCTACTGCCTGCGCTGCGAGGCGCCCACCTGCTCCCTCTGCAAGGTCTTCGGGGCGCACAAGGACTGCGAGGTCGCGCCGCTGCCCGCCGTCTACCAGCGCCAGAAGGTGGGTGGCCCTGGGGGGGCCAGCGAGGGCCCGGGGGCTGCCCGCCCAGCTGGCCCTCACGCCCTTCCCATCCCATCCTGTCCCAGAGCGAGCTCAGCGATGGCATTGCCATGCTGGTGGCAGGGAATGACCGGATCCAGGCCATCATCACCCAGATGGAGGAGATCTGCCGCACCATCGAGGTGGGCACCGGGGGGTGTCCCTGGGTACCGCATACAGCCCTGGGGTCATGCCCATGGTGGGGACATGGCAGGACCAGGGCAGTCCTTGAGCACCACGGTCCTGCAGGAGAACGGCCGGCGGCAGAAGCAGCACCTGGGGCTGCGCTTTGACTCGCTGTACAGCATCCTGGAGGAGCGAAAGAAGGAGCTGCTGCAGAGCATCGCACGGGAGCAGGAGGCGAAGGTGCAGCGCGTGCGGGGCCTCATCCGCCAGTACGGCGACCACCTGGAGGCCTCCTCCAAGCTGGTGGAGTCGGCCATCCAGGCCATGGAGGAGCCCCAGATGGCTGTGTACCTGCAGGTCTGTGCGGGCAGGGGTGCAGGGGCCCAGGACCCTCCAGGGGGTCTGGAACTGCCCCAGGGCTGTGTGATGGGGCCACGGGTCCCTGTGGGGGCTGGGATTGCCCCACAGGGCTGTGCAGGGAGGCTGTGGTCGCTCCAGAGGATCTGGGGCTGCCCCTGGGCTGTGCTGGCATGGGGCTGTGGCAGCGGTGACATCTGGCTCCTGGGGTCCCAGCTCCCATTGCTCCAGTGAGACACTGACCCCCTGCTTTCCTCCACAGCACTCCAAGGAGCTCCTGAAAAAGTGAGTGGACATGGGGGCACAGAAGACAGGGGCAGGGTGGGGGGGCGCAGGGGGCGGGGGCGGGGTTGGGGGGGGGCACAGGGGCAGGGACAGGGTGGGAGGCATGGCTGTGGCTGGCCCTGCTGGGCCATGGCCAGGGATGCAGGGGCCCCATGGGTGTTGGACCCTGGCAGCTCCCTGGAGGGTCTGCCTGCCCTGCAGGATCACAGACATGTCCAAAGTGTCGATGGGCAGCCGCCCGGAGCCCGGCTACGAGAACATGGACCATTTCTCCATCAATGTGGACTATGTGGCGGAGATGCTGAGGACCATTGAGTTCCAGACAGGTGCTGGTGCTGGGACAAGTGCTGCCATGCCCAGGGGGCACGTGGGACTGCCCAGGGCACCCAGCCCTCAGACAGGCAGAGCCCACCACCACCTCATGATCTGTGTGGGGATGCGTCCCCTTGTGCACAGGAATGGGTCTGTGTGGCCCCTCAACACTGCCCAGGGCCAGGCTCCCATGCTGGGCTGCCCACGCCATGGGGAGGGAGGGCCCCAGCTGACCTGTCCCCCTGCCCCACAGAGCCACTGGGCGAGGATGAGGCAGATGGACCTGGGGACAGCAGCGAGGCCGCTGCAGATGAGGACCGGCTGGACAGCCTGGAGGCACCCGAGGCCACAGAGGGTGAGTCCCCACCGTGTTGTGCCATGTCACACCATGCCATGCCGGGCTGCTTTGCTTGGCTACAGGGCTGCGGGGGTGGTCAGGGGCTGCTGTGCCCATGGCGGGGGTTGTGTGCTGTGCCGTGCCCAGCAATGTGTCTGTGTGGCTGCACGGGTCCTGCAGTGTGCCAGGGCGTCCCTGTCTCCATCTTGTCACCTGCTTTCCCTCTGCAGATGTGGGGCCGAGGCAGAAGCCAGCGAGCTCTCCCCATGGTGAGACCCTCACTGGGATTGAGGGGGGGGGGGGGGG